TCCATATCGTGGATTGCCTCGAGTTGCTGCTGTTGTTGTTGTTGTTGTTGTTGTTGTTGTTGTTGTTGTTGTTGTTGTTGTTGTTGTTGTTGTGCCGCTGTGCCGGTGCAGCGGTCAGCGAGGACTGATGACCGGAGATTCGATATGACGCATGGATTCGCGAAGATAGCGCCGCGGTTGCCAGCAGTCGAGATGTAGCCTCAGCCGTGACTGCTTGCGCAAACGGCGAAGGCAAGTGAATGCACGGCTGAAGCTGCGTGGAGGATGGGATGGCTGTGATAAGGTCACGCTGGACACGAAGCCGGCCAGTAGTGAATGTTTGGTCACTGTCTCAGACAGGTCAGCGGTAACGTCGAGAACTTGAGGTTTGTGGCTGTGAATCGTCACTGATCGCAAGGTTGAAGACGAGCAGCGAGTTATCCCAGCCACACCTGCTGGCCGTGCAGTGCCCATTCGACTTGCTGAGGCCGATCACAGCATGTTTTCGGCCAAAGGCTGCAGGCACATGCTTGCTTGCAGGTTCTTGAAAAGAATCCCGGCATACATCTCAGCCGCACGCCACTGGGCCAAAGCACTTCATTCTAGCTTAAAAGGAATCTTGGGGTTAGGGGCGCCACCACTGAGACGAGGCTCGTTTGGCCACTGTTGAGCCGTTGCCCGGTTTTCGACGTGGCGGCGAAGGCTCTGGTCAGCTGCTGTGCTCTGTTCGAGTGGCAAAGTTGGGTGATCCATGCGCCAGGGTTGCTGGGCCAAGCTGGCTGCCAAAGGTGGGTTGCTTGCCGAGGCGCATTGACTCAGCCAGCTGTGAAGGCAAGAGGTTTGTTTCGCATCTGCTCGGCAGGTGCCACTGCCGATCTTCAGAATACTGCTGCATTGGGGGAACACAGGCTCCTCGGATGCCAAGTCTGGAGTCCGCCCAAGGACTAAACACCGCCCAGCAACGTGCAAGATGATGCTGCAGAAAAGACATGTTTGTGGTCTCTACAGCAATGCAGCTGCCACCCTTGCCGTGAACATGCGCACAAAGTACAGATGGGGACATCCATGCCCTTCTCTTCGCGTTGGCAGTCCCCCAAACTCGCCTCTTACCAGCCGTACATCGCGTCGCTGTATAGGTGATGTTCGGCACGATCAGCAGAAACGGTTGTTCTAGATTGTCTCCGGAAGTTTCGGTCTCGGGGTCAGGATTCTGGTGTTGACTCGGGTGTGACTTCGATTTATTTGATGAACAGTCATTTGGCAATGTTGCAGCTCGAGGTTCGCATGCGAATCAACATGCCGTCTAGTTACTAGTTGCTCCCGGAATCTGGCCTGAGCTTGCAAAAGTGAATCTATCATGTCTGGGAATACAGGAGGCCATGTGCGATGGAAAAAGCATGGTCACGTCTGCATGCATTCGGCGTTCCAGAAGAAGCTTGGGCAACATGCTGATATGGAATTCGTTGAGCCTCCTGGACCCAGGCTGCTTGGCCTTTGCACGCGCCCAGGGTCCTGCACTGTCGGCTGCCCTGCGGCGACTGGGCGCCGAGCCGACAGCTCTGCGTCGCATGGCTAAGAAAGTGGCAAGGCTAACATACTGGTTGCGAATTTAAGCGTGTTTCTTTGTTTCCCAGGCGGTGCGCGGGTGTCCATGTATGTATGCATGCATGCAAATGTATGATGTATGATGTATGTGCGTCTCTACGTGTGATCTGTGTATGTGCATGTACGTATGGGCACCCGGCTGATCCTGGCTGTATGTCTGCACCTGTAAAGACTGTAGCGTGCACAAAGTCAGAAGTGTTTACATGCACAGATACATGTAAACGCCCGCAACGGATTAGCCGACTGACTGCCTGAGAAACGGATGATCTACCTACCTAACTTAAGGTCAACCTCTTGTGCTAACTTGAGTCAGATCGCAAGTGGCTCAAATGGGATGAAATTGGAATCTTGGCTTTTCGGAAATACGAATAAAATAGGAGAAAACTAAGACCTGCCCGCACTCCCGCGCCACTTTCCACCATGTTTCTCCTAACGTTCTGCATGTGTTTGTTCATTTTTCTCCAATGTTTTTCCTATTTTTAAATATTATTGTGCTTATTTTCTCCTATATTTATCCTATGGATTTTACTTTTCTAGTTTTGGCCTAGTTCTTTGCTGTTTCCTGTAAACCCTAAAGTCCTATTTACTTCCTATTTATCTCCTATTTCTGGAAATCATGGTTTCTCTACTAGACTTTGCACTCCTGAGATTGACATAAACCTAATGGACTCCGTGAAAAAGAAGAAGAAGCTGAGAAGTGAATAATGAATGTGTAGCTCATACACAAAGGCTTTTCTCCTTAACCACATTAGTGGACACGAAGCAGGAAAGAACCATGATTTTGTCTATAAGAGTGAATATGTGCGAGTCGCTGCACATGACCTGTGTTTATGCAGTGGCATTGACATTGAGAGCATCTTGCCCCAGCTGTGGGTCCATGAGTTGCCCAGTGAGTTTAGCATGAGTGGTGGCATAAAAGCATGGACCAGGTTATCCTTATGAAATTGGGCTTCGTGTAGCCTTAGCTTTGTATGCCTGGAGATGAAAGCGGCCTGGCACTGTACCTGCGAATCCAGGGTTGCTTGGGGTCATGAGTTTAGATATCCATCCACATTCATGTTGATACACGGGCATGTTCCTATGTATGTCGCAGGCTACAGGGTGTATTAAGCAAATGAGTTGCTGCGATCACGAAAAGGCATGCCTTTGCCATGACAATCCCGCAGCTCTTATATGTTGAGTGCGTTACAGTGGTGCTATGGGTAGTCGAAGATTCTGAAACAATCTGCAAGCCGTTAAGAAGTCCGCGTCCAGGTGTTGAGCAACGGCTGGACAGGAGTGCATTGAAGTTCAGCAGGTTACTTGAAGCAAGTGCTGGAATGTCGGATGTTTTTTTGTCGAAAGTCAAGTGCAGAACGCGTTTAAGGTCATCCTCGGGTGGTGTTGCGGTAGCTGCGACAGAGCCGATCAGATGTGGAAGCACGGAGGCTGAAGGTTGGCACAGATGAGAACTCAGGGGGTGGCACGTAAGGATACACTAAGACCTACCACAGATCCCATACCCTCGTGCGACCGAATGACAGAGCTCCTGCACAGCGTTTGCATGTATTTGCCCGTTGCCCAACCAATCAAGGGATGAACTTCGGCCCGCATCCCTGGCAGGTCATGTTCCAGGCGAGAAATGTGGGACAGCTGGAAATGGATCCAAGAAGCGAGGCCGAGGGAGAAGAAAGGCGGAGGAGCCACCCTCAAAAGTGAATGTGGCAAGCTTATTGCAGCGAGCCCTTGATGTAAAGGCCGGTCAGATGGATATAGGACCGCAGTTGGCCTCGAATGGGGATCCAAAGAGCTGTACACCTTCCCACGGGGCTGAGACACAGCAGGCCTCAGAAGAAGCCACAGGCGTAACATGCCAGAAGGGGGAGGCGCTGCCGTCAGTTCCAACTCCGAGCACAGCGGCACCCGAGTCGCCGACATCAGAGGAGGACAAGAGTTTGACCAGCGCGGGAGCCTTGTTCCAGGGGTGTGGGGCCGGCACCGACCCAGCTTCGCAACAACCGTCTACTCTGCAGAGTGCTGCGGGCTCCGTGGCTGAAGTTCCGATGGTGAAGGAGACAGAGGAGGACCCTCGGCGCAGCAGAAAGCTTGTTTTCTGAGAAGAGAGACCCATGCCTGGCACCAACCTCAAGGCCCGGACGCGTGTAAATCTGCATCTAAGGTCGCAGTGCTCTTGGGTGGGCGGGTTCATCGCCAAAGGATCCTCGGCTTGTGCTGCGTCGGCCAACAAGATGTGCGGATTTTCAGTTTGGTTGGAGCCGAAGTCATAGAGTCCTCGCTTCCTTGCGGCTGGCCCTTTGAGTGTTGGTTGCCTTTTCCCTTTGTATCACCATTGTAGCCTGGGCTGGTCAAGCATGGTCAGCCTCACCCCACCGAGGAACTTGAAGTCACTCTTCGCCTGCAAAAGTTGAGGCTCGGCACCAGAAACAGAAAGCTCTTTCGTGAGCGATCCTCGGATTCTGGTGTCAGGCTCTGGGTGGATTGCCTGTTTCGGCGAGCTGAGCCTGGGCAACGGCCGGTGAAGGGAGCTTGAAGTCCAACATCGGACACTGCGAGGATAGCAGCGTTTGTCGCTGTGATGCTGACGCTTGCATGCCAAGCTACAGCTGGAAAGCCATTAAGACCAGAGCACCAGAGCCACCGGCCGCTTTGTAGGTTGTTCCCGAATCTCAGCTGTAGCTGATGTGCTGCGTCTCGTGGGATGTCAAAGCTTCCATTGTCGCAAACCAGCGGTACCGTCTGCCTGCCATTGCTGTCCCGTGATCAACGGATGAAGCTTACCACACGCAGAAGAACTGGTTTTGTCGTTGTAGCAACCCGAAAGCCCTAAATCAAAGCCGTTGATAGCTATTGAGGCAGTCGGGGAAGCAAGGCACTTGGCTGCAGGGGCAATAGCAGCAAAAAGGAGTGAGTAGCGGCTAACCAATTCTTGAGCGATGCCATCGACGACCCTCCTGCCTTGAATGCTTCTTGAAACGATTTTCGACGCTGTTTTCGCGAGCGTTGCTGAGTCTTATCGAAACCAGGTGCATGGCGTCAGGAAGCTCGGAAAACAGGGCAGCATCTGCATGAAAGGACAGCGAAGTTAGTTCATGCCGCGATGGGCGAAGGCAGGCAGGAGGATTCGGCAGAGGCCGAAACATGAGGTGGGACAGAGCCGGGCTCTTTGAGAAGCTTGTTGAGCACTCGTCAATCTGGACAGGTAAGATGACGAAGAGGACAGTCGTGAAATGCCCGTGCGGCAGTTCAGTATCACGAAGGGCCAGCAATTCTGATAGGTCGTGGTGATCACGCCGCGAAACTTGCAGTTTTAGTGGCTCAGAGAAGAGTGCTGGAGGCGTGTGTAGTGAAATGCGAAGCTATCATGTGTTGCAGTAAGGCTTTGTTCGTCAAGCAGAGAATTGTGTCCTGTTTGCGGCATGGACGTGGAGGTGCACGGTCTGTCTGGCAACCTCCTGTGTTGCTTGGAAGTGCAGGCCGCCCAAACCGTGGCAGACCTGAAAGAGTTGATTCACAAGGCCACACAGATCAAGACAAACTTGCAGAAGCTTCTGCTGGGCAATGAGCTGCTACGCAACACGGATTCTTGCGGTGAGATCCTCACACAAGGACCGCATCGCATTCGACTATTCGTGATGGGTTCAATATGTTTCGCTGTACGGCACTGCAGGAACTGTCAACGCGATAGTTCTGCTGCAGACCGACAAATGGATTGAAGAGGTTGCACAGGACTGGCGTCGTTTACGGAAGGCTTCGGAAGCAGTTCGCAATGACAAGGATGCTTCGTTGCACAGCTTTGTCTCAGGTGGTAGTAGTAGTAGTGCTACTACACTACCACTACTACGACTACTGACTACGACTACGACCTACGACTACGACGACGACTACCACTGCCACTGCCACTGCTACTGCTACGACCACGACTACGACTACGACTACGACGACGACGACTACTGCTGCCTACTACTACTGCTACTACTACTACTACTACTACCACTATTACTACAACTACTACTACCTACTACTAATAGTACTACTACTACTACTACTACTACTACTACTACTACTACTACTACTACTACTACTACTCCTACTACGACTGCTGCTACTACGACGACGACGACGACTACTACTACAAACAATAGTAATAACAATAATACTAATACTAATATGAATCCTAATACTAATACTAATACTGATACTGATACTGATACAAATACCAATCCTAATACTACTACCACGACGACGACTACTACTACTCTTCTGCTGCAGCTCCTGCCGGTGGTGTCAAAACTACTTCCTCTGCTGCTGCAGCTGCTGAGGCAAGCCCTTCTAGTGCTGTAGCGACATCCGCACTACCAACACCTCCATCGGCAGCAGCATCGTTCCAAGGATCTGGTCCTTGCAGCCATCGATCGAAGCCACGGCGAAGCAATCAAGTTTGCTGGTGATCAGATCCGAGCTGATCGGGAGGCAGGGCATACATAGTGCTGATCACGCAGCAGGACTGTCGTCGCAGGGGTACTGGTAGTGCTACGTCTGGTGCTCGTGCTATTGCCAGGTAGTGCTTACGACCTGCCAAGTACCTACCACCTACTACCTGCTAACTGCTACTGCCACTGCTTCTGCTATTACCACAACAACAACAACAACTAATACTACCGCTACTGCTGCTGCTGCTGCTGCTGCTGCTGCTAAGCAACTACTACTGCTACTACTGCTGCTGCTGCTACTACTACAACTACGACGACGACTTACCATGCTACTTCTGCCGCTCCTGCTACTACTACTGCTACTGCTGTTGTTACTCCAGATGCCAATGCTCGCCTCTCTCCTCCTCCTCGTCCTCCTCGTCCTCCTCCTCCTCCTTACTACTGCTTTTATCAGGGTTCAGGATGGTTCAGGGTTTGGGGTTCATGTTAAGGATGTTGGGACGCGTTCTGATGCATTGTGGGGGTAGTAAAGGTCGGTAGGTGACCGGGCGGGTGGGTGGGTGGGTGGGTCGGCAACGTAGGCGCTGCTGTTGCTTCTGACGCTTCTTCTCCTGGTACTGCTGCACGACATGTACTACTGCTATTGCTTCGCTTGTACTGTCGTGGCAGCAACGCCTGCCCCGGAGGTCATGCTTGCTGCCATGGGGCGGAACGGATCTCTTTACAAGCACCGCGACACCAATCATAAAGCCAACCGAACAACAAGAGGAGCTTTCTTGTTGATGAGTTCTGCGAGTTCAGGACTGCGAGTGAAGGGTTCTTTCCGTCTTGCCTAGTGCTCGCCATTTGCAGCCTGAAGGTATGCAAATCCTTCTTTGGGCTTGGATGTGGACTTCATGAAGGCAGCGCTTCAGCAGGCTCCTTGCCGGAACTGCCCTCTTCCGACTTGGCAATGGCACACTTCACCAGCGGTCTGCATGGACAAGACCTTTATGCTGCTGATGGTTGCCCGGCAAGGTGTGGCATTGCAACACGCAGGAAGCGAGCTCAGAAATGACGAAGAGCTGGTCCGGGCTGCGATGCATGGATATCCACATGCCTTCCAGCATGCTTCTTATGAGTTGAGAAGCAACCGTGAATTTGCCGCGTTTGCCGTCGGAGTGTCTCTTCAAAATCTCTTCTACGTCTCTGAAGACTTGAGAGGTGACAGGAACTTCATTCTTCGCTGTCTCCCAACTTACTATACGGGTCAGCCTCAACTAGTTCAAGTTACAACGATTCTCAAGAAACTGCCTGAGACCTTTGCGTCAGATCGGGAAGTGGTGTTGCGGGTCCTGCAGGCTTTGCCGCACTGGCACCGCAGAGCAGAGCTGATGCGAGCCAGCAAAGATCTACACTCCGACGCCGAGCTCAAGGAGGTTGCTGGGCTTCAGCTTTCTCGGCCTGTGCGAGGGTACACAGCCGTGGAGCGGGTGCAGGATCTGCCCAAGCCGCCTTTGACAGCAGAGAGTCGGACTGCACTGCAGTACTCGACGACTGCGGCACAGAACAAGCATTCCTTCTGGCGTGAGCTTCTTCAGAAAGATCCAGCTGTTCTTGCATTTCTGGGCAAGGATGAGGCCGTTGAGGAGAAGGACTTGGTGCTTGCAGCTGTGAAGAAGGACGGTCGCATGCTGGAATATGCCAGCGAGGAGCTCCGCACGGACGTTGACCTAGTCATGGCCGCCTTGGAGAATGATGCGGATGTGTACGACATCCTGCCAGAGACCATGCGCTGCAGGGAAGAAATTGCCTTGCTGGCCTTTCGCAAACATCGGATCAAGTTGCCGAAGCCTCTTCTGTCCAATCGTCATGTGGTAGTAGAAGCTGCTGCAATGCAAGACAGAGCCACGGAGGTGGAGAAGAGACGGCTGCAGAAACTTCCTTTGGCCCACCTTGTCGCGAAGTTCGATCTCGCTTGAGATGTGGGCAGCTGACTTGTACAGTGCACGGCCGGCCTGCATGAAAAAAATGCTGCGATACCTACCCATCCTCGTCTGTTCACCGGAATCCTACGCGCCGAGTTCTTGCGCGATGTTCGAAAGGACCTCGATCCACACATCCACCGGATCCCAACGATCTGGTGAAGCTCTTCGCGGTTGCAAACATCCGCACCTGGGCGCCGATGCAAGTTCAAGTCACCTCGTACAGACATTCGGCATGCAAAATCATACTTCACGGCACGGTCAGCCAAAGTTCCGTTACGAACGCAACAGTTTGCGGCAAGACAGGGTCAGGAAGATGCCGAACAACGGAACTCGACTGAGCAGAAGGACGGAAGCAAGTAGGGTTGGAGAGAGAGAGAGAGAGAGAGAGAGAGACAGTCAGGGAGAGAGAGCTACCTCGTTTGGCTGTGTGGAAGAAGAGAAGTGACTTTTCTGCGTCGAAGAAGAAGAAGCAGCCATTTTCGGCAGAGAAAGCACTATCTGGAAGTAATGCATTTGCGCTGTCAGACATTTATCCGGTCACGTGCAGAGACACGGACAAACAGATGCACAGCCAGAGATAGACCGAGATTGACAGTGACAGACAGAGTTTAATCTCACAGTGTGACGGAAGAGCGGAGCTCTTGCCGGACAGCAGGGCCACCCGCGGTGAGTAGTTTCGTCATGGACGCAGCAGGTATATGGAGAGGTCCATGAGTTTTGGTCTCGGGCTGCGTTCTAACTCGATCTGGTGCCCTCGGAACCTTTGGTGTGCTGCGGAGGACCTGAATGAAGCCTGCCAAGGTCTTTTACGGATATGTTTTAGGAGTGGTGTCTTTGGGGGTCAGGGTTTGCCAGGCTCATGTGGGCGGAACGCGCACGCCGTCCCCGGAAGGGGTCTATAGTTGACCATGGGGCGCGCGGACCTTGTGGGTACGCCCTCGGGACATGGGGTTGCTTCAGCCCCTAAATACAAGTTCCTCACACAGTGCCCAAGCACACGAAATGCTACAGCGAGGGGGAAAGCATGATAGCTGCATGTGCAACGGATGCAAAGACATACCTCGAGGAGAACTTCTGAGTGATGGCTTTTGAAACAGTCGGCGACGCAGAGTAGCTCTTAGTCAGCCACAAGCCTGCTCGTCTTGTAGTATCCGGAAGTACTGCACCGCCTTTCTTTCTTAGTAGTCACGCCAGCTGTGGGGGTAACGGTGAACAGTACTGCGGATGATGTCTGGCCGACCTGTCACGGATACACTGCTTACTTTCCTGTCGTAGCTTGTTGGTTGTGTTGGTATCTATGTTTGCTCACCTTTACTATGTACTCTACACTGCTGTATGCTGACTGCAATGTGACAGGATTGGCAGACAAACTGTAGTAACGGTAGCAATGGACCCAGAAGCCGTGCCTGCGATTGCGCGAGTGTGCGAGTCGAAACTCCTAGCAAGCAAGCAAACAGACGGAGACAGACGGTCATCGACAAACATAGACAGACATAGACAGACATAGACAAGACTGGCAGACAGGTAGAGAAGCAGACAGACCGACACGCAGACACGGAGACAAAGAGAGAGAGAGAGAGAGAGAGAGAAGGACACCTCCACGGGGGATAACTTATACAATTTTACCTTCTGCTTCTGGTTGTGAAATCTTTCTTCTGATGACGTCCTGCTTGAACTGGGGGGTGCCCCATACAGTGCTGGCCTGGGCCTCAGTCAGTCTGTGATGCTTGCATTTGAACGAATTCGTGATGAACCTCTTTTCCTATGTGTTTTATGATGCAAGCAGCATAGACATTTCAACGGGGGGAATGGTCCATCGGTAAGTCCTTGCTTTACACATGCTTAGCCTCTAGGCCACAAAGGTATAGTCGTGTCATTGTTTTTCACTCCGAAATCCGGTGGACTCCCAACCCTGAAACTTCCTTGAACTATACAACCCCGAACAGTGATGCCGCAACGAAGATATCCTGTAATCTACTTTTTCCCTGAAAACACTTCGGCATCACGGGGGAACTGCAGACACAATCATCCTCCCGGAGTCATCCTTTATGCCCCCTATATATTGTTACGATCTTTGGCACCAAATGTGATCTACTTTGGCACTTGAATAGGGGGAGATATAAGAATGACTATGCACGTGTTGAAGTGAGAGTCAAATGGGACACAGTCAGCGTTATCGTATTTACTTTATGGCTCTAGCCGAAACTGTGTTCCTGACTCATTCTTCACCCCTCACACACCCGTTAACACAGCGGGGGGGCCATTGGCCCGAGGGCGTTGACCCGCCCTCATGCCCGGGAGAGAGAGAGAGAGAGAGAGAGTGCAACCCCGAACAGTGATGCCGCAACGAAGATATCCTGTAATCTACTTTTTCCCTGAAAACACTTCGGCATCACGGGGGAACTGCAGACACAATCATCCTCCCGGAGTCATCCTTTATGCCCCCTATATATTGTTACGATCTTTGGCACCAAATGTGATCTACTTTGGCACTTGAATAGGGGGAGATATAAGAATGACTATGCACGTGTTGAAGTGAGAGTCAAATGGGACACAGTTAGCGTTATCGTATTTACTTTATGGCTCTAGCCGAAACTGTGTTCCTGACTCATTCTTCACCCCTCACACACCCGTTAACACAGCGGGGGGGCCATTGGCCCGAGGGCGTTGACCCGCCCTCATGCCCGGGAGAGAGAGAGAGAGAGAGAGAGTGCGAGGGCTGCTCGTGCTTTCTTGACTGTGCTGAAGAAGAGAGACCGAGCGAGAGAGCGAGCGAGAGGTGCCGCAGTGCTAGAGACGTACTTTGCTCCCCAGCTCCGCTGGGGGCTGGGGCTATTCGTTTTGTCGCGCCCCTCTGCTGCCAACAGCGCGGCTGGGCCGTTCGAGAGAGAGAGAGAGCTCCCCACCACAGTCCTGGCGAAAGAAAGACGGAGTGCGGCGGGGTGGGGGCCGCGCAGTCTCCGAGATTCAGGGTCGCGATACACAATGCGGGCGGCGGTGCGAGTAGCATGAAGACAGGACGCGGCACAGGTGGTGGGAGGGGCTTGCCGCTTCCGAGGTCGGGGTGTGGCGCGGGGCTGACGGTGCGGCGGCGGTTGGACTTTGCGACGGTTTCGTGTGGCCAGTCTGCTACTCGAGATAACTCCTGACGCATGAGAGTGCTCTCGAGAAAAGAGGGGGGCAGTGGCGAGAGGTGGTTGGGGGGTCAGCTCGATGACGAGAAGCAGCACTAAGAGAGTGCGCTGGCGGCTCTTAAGTTTCCGGGTTGACCTCGCTCTTTGTCACGTGCTGCTCGCCTCCTGATTCGAGCATGAAGGCAAGTTACAAGTTCTTCCCTACGAAAGGCTTGTCCCAATTGCTAGTGACACCATCTCTGCTTTCTGGTGCTGGACTATATAATGCTAAGGCAGAGACCGGGAAGCTGTGCGACGATCTGACCGGCCGCAGCTCCCCTTATCTCCCGTTTCACGTCGGGCAAAGCTCCGCATGTTGTATACCGCCCGCGAAAACCGACAACTCATCAAAAGTGCGGCTCCAAAAAGCTGCTGTTCACCGAATTGCCCAAGCATGGAGCATAAAGGCACCCAGCTTCAGCTCTCCAGCGATCAATTTGCTTCATCACAGCTGCAGCCATTATGTTGCAAGAGGCTGCGTAGCGTTCATAGCAGGTCCCCCCTCCGAGGTTTTGGCAGCCATTGGCATGCCGATCTCTGGCCCCAGGCGCCTTCCAGCACTCGTTCTTGTGTTGGCCGCCCCCTGCCTATGGGCTGAAAGAGGTTCTTTAGACAGTGGTCAAAGCTTGTCGCTCGATCAAGCAGTCGCGAACGGCTTCACCTACAACGATATTGTTGAAGCTTTGCAGGAGCTACAACACGAGAAAATCGCAGAGGAGACTCGGTCAGTCAGCCGAGTCAGCCAACACGCCTACGACACATCGGAGCCCGCTGGAGTTGTAGACCAAGGCCAAGACGAGGCAAGCACCACAGACGCGGAGACGAGCACGACGACCACGACCGAGACGATTGGGGCACAGTCTGGCTCAGATGCCGAGTCTGATACGAGCGACCAGAATGGGCAGGCTGCGCAGGATAGTGTAAAGTTGAAGCAGCGCTTCTACAGTCACTTCCGGTCCAAGCAGGCACGACTGCCCAAAAGCTCACCTTGTTCTCGGACAGGCGGCTTACGCAGGCAAGAGTAGGACGGATTTGCTAATTTGGAAGAGGCTTGTGACAAAACTTCGTTTCGGCTGTAGGGAATGCACAGGAAGAAGACAGCCGGCAGTTTGCAAAGTTCCCGGAGATGGTGGAAATCCTGGAGTCAAAGGCGAACCAGGTCATGACAAGGAGCAGACGCTGGAAAAGCTTGTTGGAGAAGATCAACCAGGGCAACAGGAATTTCACAAATATGATCAAGAAGTTCGGCTCAGCAGTCAAAGAGGACAATCTGGCGAAGGTACAGCGCGTCGTTACAGTGCTTAATGGTTCGGAATCCACTCCGGCCTCATCCAGCTCAACATCCACTACAGTGACCCCGGCAGCTCAGACTGCCCCATCAGAACTTGGACTTGACGAGGATGAAGACGAAGATGACGAAGATGAAGACACACAAGACGAGGAAGGGGAAGATGAAGACGATTTTGCCGAGCAGTCGGATCCGAGTGTTGCGAATGTCAATCAGGCACAGCAGACGGCACAAGCACTAGCGCCGATTCGGCGAGTTACAACATCAAGTCTTTTCGGCGAGACTGACGACAGTGAAGTAGAGCCATCCACAACCGTGATGGATGACACCACCCCCGCACCCGGTCGCCTGGGCATAGACGACAACACTGTCGAGGACGATGATTCATGATCCGAACACCTTCGACAGCACCCTGCATGTTCTCAGGGCGAGAGAAGGACAGATAAGATGCAGGTGATGGACACATCACGCGAGGTTTCACCAAAAAAGCTATTCGTGCCGGGAGCATCTGCTCTCAGTTCCCATGCGACAATTCCACGTAGAGTCTTTGCATGGCGGTTGCGCTGAGATGGATTCTGCCTTCTGCATCAGCATTTGGCACTCAGCGTCGGCCCCCGGTTTCCTTTGCACCAATTCTGGCCGTCTCTGCGAGAAGCAGGACGGACGAGGCCACCTGCAGGGCATAGCAGTGAGACCTGCGAACTGTTGTCTTCCGTCGGGAGGTCATGGCAAACAGCGAGCTGGCTTATCTTGGTGGCATTTGCTGCGCGAGAACCCAAGATTTGAGAAATGTACCTGTGCATATGAATTGCCAATGTGGCTGTGCCTGGCCTGCTCACTTGTGCCCTCTGTCGGGTCTTCGAGCTGGGGGGGTGGCAAGTCGTCGGAAGACCATGTAAGCGAACAGGGTCATACACACTGAGTGCAGCAGGTGAAGAGAGGCTGGCAGTTGGCACTTGGACGCTGATTCTGCCCTGCTTGCAGAAAGAAAGAAATCATCTGACAACAGGGAAATCTTCGGACAACAGGGAAATCTTCGCACCGCACACATGGCCAGCACAGAAGGCAAGACATGAAGAAGAACAAGCTGCCTTGTGTCCGTTCGGACAAGGGCCTGAAAAGCAAACCGTCGCCACTGCACATCTATCCGAAAGCTTTAGGCCGCCTTGAAGCCATCAATGCGCCAAGCAAACATGATGGGCGACATCGGGCGACTAAGGAATGAGGCAGAAGCTTAGCCAGTTCTATGGTGATGTGCCTATGATGTGTTTTGCACCGAGGTGGGGTTGGTGAGCTACTTCTGGATGCTGCGATGCATACTAGAACTAAGACGTCTTCCTGGCAACGGTCTCCAGTGCTACGAGGAGCTGGGAAAAGACGATATCCACTGCTTTACAGCTTCTCGAGGGTTGGCTTTGAAGCGACTGCCATGCTTGCGGAGGAGACCTCAACCATGCTAATTCTCTTCTTGGTGGTGAAGGTCCAGTGCCGTAAAGATTTTCCGCTGTGACTCAGAATCTGCACTCCACGAATAGATGCTTCCGTCTGTACAGTGCTGTGCCAGAGTTGCGCGAAGGCCGTGTTGCTGGTGCTCCACACATTGATGCTACTGTTCGGATGGAATAATTCCAGCCCCGGCTGGTACGTTGGCATTGGTGTTCTGCTTGCCGATGCTAGCGTCGCGCTCCGTCTGCACTGTGCAGTAGGCAGGAATGAGCATCTACCATTGTCATCCTGTGTGTCCCCTGGCAATTCACACCGTTTGCACTCAGATAGCTTTGGCCGTGTACCTGCGAAAATGGATCGCCCGACGAAAGGCGTCACTTCAGGCACCTTGACTGAACTCTTGGGCCGGAGTCTCGAGCTTTTCGCAGGTTCATGTCGGTCTGCAAAACACAGATATCACGCAGGCAAAAAGAGGCAGGATTCTTGAACAGAGGGCCTGTTTGCCTCTGTCGGACGATGCTTCCAGATGGTGGCGACATGTTTCCGGGCCGGTGGTGGTCTACTGTTTTGATCAACTCCACCGCTCGAAGTCTGGTTACCGTGTGCGTACCTTCATCTTCTCCTCGTGCTGCCAACTGGCTAGACATCAGCACTGTCCTCATTCTCAATCCCCAAGTGTAGCATGCACAGCGCTTGGACTTCTTCCCAGCTGTCACATCGACATAGCCCTGAATGCAGAGACCTGCTCCAGCCCTGGAAATTCGAGGCCAGAGTCTCTCTCTGGGGGCGCGCTCTTTGGCTCGCCGCAGTTGGACACTTTTGCCTAGATCAAGCCATGGAAAACATGCTACCGCCAGAGGCTGCAAGGCCCTTCAAAGCGCCTCGCATGGCCGAGAAGGCCGAGAGTCCGCTGGTCATGAGCTTGCCGACAACTCCTCCCATGGCAGTGACACCACCGAATTTCAACAGAGTGTTTGAGTCTCCAAGTCCGCAGCATGGCGAAGGCAAAGGTGCTACAAGCAGTCCAGCTGCCCCCTAGCGGTGCTATAACCAAAAGTCCCGCAGCCTCTGCTGCCGTATCTGGAAGTCCTGCAGTCTCATGCGGAAGTCCTACGTGGATGAGCCCAGTTCGTCGTCTCGCACGAGTAGCGGAATTGCAGGCCATCAGCAATCATCAAGAAATCGAATTGGCAAGGGAACGGTCAAGCGAGCGCTTCTCCAAATCGTTTGATCTAGAGGCCGATTTGGTAAGAAATAGGAATACGAGGCCGCCCATTTTCATACCCTCTTGGCGCGCGGCTTGTGCATATGTGCCTAGTCTCTTGTACAAGCCAGAACAAGTCTCCCGTTTATCAAATGGAATGCTTGAGTTGACCACCATCGAAGAGGAGCCGACTTTGATCAAACCATCTACGGGAGACTTGTTCTGGCTTGTACAAGAGACTAGGCACATATGCACAAGCCGCGCGCCAAGAGGGTATGAAAATGGGCGGCCTCGTATTCCTATTTCTTACCAAATCGGCCTCTAGATCAAACGATTTGGAGAACTTCGTTCATATCTACATGCGACGTGAGCATCCTGAAATGATCGCTTCGGGTATTCCTTTCGCTGGTCATCTTGATAGTCAGCACTCCCGTGAACTATACAAAATCAAGGTGATGGACATTCTGAAGAATATTGCATGCCGTGGTGCAAACATGTCTCTAGCTGATTTGCATCATGAACGACGAACGCTGGATGTGAAGCGCGTGACTGCAAACAACGCCAAACGCAATCCGATGCGACGTCCTGCATCCCAGAAGCGTCCCGCTTCAGTGCTTGATGTCCCCTAGACATGTTCCTGTCTTTTGGACTTGATGGCTCCGATGTACAGGCATTTTGAGTCTACAGTCGCGAATTGCATGCCTTGTACAGAAACCTGCCATAATCAAGCTTCGGCCACTTCGACCTCCGGAGGCTGGAGATCAAGGTTGATGTCCCCTAGACATGTTCTTGTTTTTTGGACTTGATGGCTCCGATGTACAGGCATTTTGAGTCTACAGTCGCGAATTGCATGCTCTCCAACTTGCAGGATAAGGCCCGCTGCAGCAGGCTTGCGTTTGTGCGGCGTGCCTCTTCTGAACCCGGGTGGAGGTGACAGACAGACCGTTACTTTACCTGGCCTGATGCTTGTTGTCATCTTCAACAGTCCGCGTCGATTGTCCCAACATACCTTGGCTCCTTGCTGACTGCACGGTCCCAGTTTGCGCCTGCCAGAACGAGCAATATGTTATAATTTCGAGTTGCAGCATTCGCTGCGGCTAGATCTCGGCAGCTCCCATTCTCGATTATTGAATCAGTTCGGACCTGGAAGAAACAGTCATGGCATAAAAGTTTACAGCGAAGCTTCGTTCGCTCAAATCGCCGGAGCCGGAGGCAAGCATGAGAAACAGAGAGGCTCCAGGCTCTACGAAGGCTTGCGCGCTTCGTGCTGCGCGAATCCGCCGCAACTGGAGGTCTTCTTACCTCTGGTCCTCTGGCGTTCTGCCATTTCTCTCCTTGCATAAGAGTGTATACTAGTAGCTTCTTTCAGGTGGAGGCCCAGCAGCTCCAGAAGGAGAAGCGCAGCGCGGCCTTGGAGCAGCTGCCCAGACACACGGCTGACCTTCCGGTATTCGAATCAGGTCGAATCAGTCTTTCACAGAGCTACGCTTTAGATAAATTTGTCCCTGTCTGCAAAGAATCAGGGCTGCAATACGCCGAGCTGCAAACTCGAGCAGAAGTCTCCGAAAGGACCGGCAGCTCTCCCCTGAGCGAGGGTTGCAGGTCCGCGCTGCTGTGAGCCTAGTGGTTTAGTCCTGCACGTTGGTGTATGCGCAGTTGGCCGTACTCGTAGGATGCCTCCCAATGCAGCAGCGAGCGAGATGATATTGCAGGACAAACCCATGCAGTGTGCTACTTGTACGGGGCATTGTTTTGCATGCAGGTCCAGCGGCAGTCGCAGTTGGGGTTTAAGCGCAAACAGGATCAGTGCATCATCTGCTTGGGAAACTTCGAACCCGACTGCACGGCGGCTCGGTGTCCACACCCACACAGCAGAAGAAAGCCGAGTTTGTCTTGCGCCCGACTTCATGGCTGCCTTGCCTCCTCGTGTTTAGGTTCTACAGCTACCTTGTGGGCATGTTTTCCATGCCACTGGGAATAACTTTCTGCAGCCACTGCAAGAACGAAGTGCTGCATATTGTCGATGCTCTAAGGAGGACTGTATTGCAGACTGGTTCTTGGATGCGAAACATGATCCCTGTCCGTTTCGTTGCCAGCATACTGCAGCTGTCGACGGCCTTGCATCTCGACTTCAGATGGCTGGTTGTCAAGTTTCGTACGTGGTATGCCGGTAGTGTTGACATGTTATTCCGATGCTTCAGCCATGTCGACCGAAGACGACTGTGCTTGATCTATTCCTACCGTCGTAGGCCGACGCTTCAGGCGCCATTGTCACGCATCAGCCTCGCATGGTGCCCCGAGGGCTTCTCGCCCGAGTCGAGTTTCATGTCTCTCGTTCAAGCTAGTCTCTGGATATGAGGCCTTCCAGAACCAAGCTCCTGATCTTGATCTTGAAGCAGCCGTCGAAAGCCCTGCGTCCGAGCGGTTTCATGGCAACACAATGACCGCCGTGGGAATGCACTCGGCATTGCCCCTTGCGGATGAAGGCGAAAGCCTTGCGGGTTCTGTTCGGGCTTGCTCTAGCCACCACCAGCCCGGCAGAAGTGCCATTCTCCTGATTGCAGGTTCGAGCTTGCACAACTGTTTACCATTGTCTGCCCATGCCACCACCTGTGTAGCGTGCAGGTGGCAATCCGCGTAAAGTGCTCATCTGGCCGTGACTTAGGCCGTCACATTCTTCGTTCTTCGATGTGCAAGTGTTCGTACTTGTCGCAGCCAAGAATGAGCCGATGCAGGGCCGGCGAAAAGCTCTTTGCCAAGGGGCAGAGAATTTAGGTAGGTTTCGCCCCCCTCAGTTTCCAGCCCGGAGTGCCCCGGTGACAATGCAAACTGATGACTCTTTGATACGCAGCTTAGGCTTGTTTCAATCTGAGATATTCTTGCAGGATTCATATCTCCGAGCTGCTCGTCCAAGGACTTCGTGTCCGCAGGTAATGTACTTGGAGCAACCGGCTGGTCTTGACAAAGTCAGCCGTCTTTAATGCTCCGTATGCCCATTCCGCCTTGCAAGCTGCATGCCTTCAACGAGCATAGCGACCAGCCCCATCTGTCTCCAATTAAGTTACAAGCCTCTTGCTGGGCTGCTGTGGCGGACTTCGTGTTTTTCATGTTTTTGCAGAGCTTTAGTTTGTGGCGAGGGCGGCCTTAGCCACTGCCTGGGACCCGACACAAAGAGGGCCAAGGCGCACGACTCCAGCTTGAAGGAGAGGGGAGGAGGACGGGACACGGGGTTGCAAAGGGCGCGAGCTTCAAGCAGTCTACACCGTGAGGCAACACTCACTACAGAGCGAAAGTGGCCGTTGCACTAAGCCAAACGGTGCTGACTGCTCAGCCGTGCCTTACTGGCGGCACTTGACTCGAAAGTTCGATGCCGTCAGCTGCTAGTTCTGTCGCAGCCTTCAGCAAGAAGGCTGCCGGGGGCGTCGAAGACGCTTGTCTAGCCAAACTCACACGGTTCGAGCGAGCCTTTCGCGGCGGGAAACCCAGGCTTTCGCCGTGCTTTGTTTTGGGACGACCAGGCCTCAAGCGTTGCTCAGACACTCGCAGATCCCCGCTTAAGGCGATTTGGCTCAAGGCTCCAGCTGCAGCAGCCGATCGCTCCGCACAAGCAAAACATCCTCAATTGCTTCTGGGTTCCATGTCGTTCTGCTGGGTGGCCTGTGAGCAAGGGTTAAGGGTTGGACTTCAGACCAAGACAGTGAGGGCACGCCGCATGCCCGTTCTTGAGTTGTGCCTCCGAGCGTCGCGCGCCAAGGACGCTTCGGCCATGATTGAACAGGTGCCTGGGCTGCAACTCGTTTCGGGGATCTTCCGGCCCTGATGCCGTTGCGGCGAGTCTGGGCTTGATTTGTGCAGCATGGCTCCTCTGCCGCGAAGTTCTCAAAAAGGGCTAAGGCAGCCGAACAGCTCCCACCTGTCACCTGTCAAAACGGCAGCGATGACTATAGCGAGCTTGATCCGGCGGCTAATGGGCGTCATGATGGCATGGGGCGTGGCATCTGCCACGGACTACCCTGCCACCTGGGCTCTTGCAAATCACGGCACGGTTCCAGCCGCTACTGTCTACGCCATGACCAGTGCCTCCAATGATGCCCAACTTCCTGGCACAATGAGTTCCGGCGATGTCAACGGTGATGGCGCTAACGACTTCGCCTATGAGTTCCCTGCTGGCACTTTCAACGTGCACTTCGGAGGCATCTCCGCAGACTTGGATCTCGACAGCATCACCTACGACGGCTCGAATGGCTTCAGCATTGTCACTGGCAACAGCGGCAATATTTGGGGGACCATCGCCGGCGACGTCAACCAGGACGGCTTCAACGACGTGTTGTTCTTCCACAAGGCAAGTTAGAGACGCAAGAGCGGTCGAGTCAGAACATGTTAAAACAGACTCTTCTCTTGTGCTGCAATGCGCAGGCCTCGGCTTCCGTCAAGATCGTCTTCGGCAAGGCTAGCGGCTGGAGCGCTTCCTACACCGTTGCAAGCATGACGTGGGATGGCACGGACGGCCGTGAGTTGACCTACTCAGCCGATAGCAAGTTCGCAGATAATTCCTTCGGAGGTAGCACGCCGCAGATCCTCAGCGGATTTGACATCAACAACGATGGCATTGACGACATCGCCGTCGTTTCGGAAGGCAGCAGCAACAGCGGCCGAGTAAGCATTTTCTTCGGCAAAAGCACATGGTCCGCATCGGTGGACGGCTCCACCGACTTTGATGGCACCAGTACCGGCTTCTCGTTTATGGATGCTACAAATGCCAGGTTGGGACGTGGCCTGAGCGTGGGAGACATTAACGGAGATGGCATCGACGATGTCGTGGCCTCCAGCAGAAGCGATCAACCGTTCAGCGGGACTGGCTGTCTCTATGTGCTTTATGGAGGGGGTACGTACTCGGCCTCCATTGCGGACATTTATGCTCATGTCGATGGGACCACTGGCTTCCGGCTGTGCGGTGCAGAATCAAACACCTACATCGCGGACTACTTCTTGGCCACGACAGACTTCAACGGCGACGGCATCTCCGACCTGCTCTTTGCAGGGCGAGGCAACCAAGCGGGAATGTACGTTCTCTTCGGCAAGGCATCCTTCGCCGCGAGCCTGACTCTGCCGTTTGCAAGCGGCGAGGGAGTCTCCCTCACGGGCTTTTCGGGCCAGCCGGGGTTGCTGAAAGTAGCCAACCTGGGCAAGTTCAACAACGACCAGTACGAGGACATCGCGTTTGGGGACGGCAGCAGCCTGCACGTCGTGTTCGGCAGTGCCAGTCCGGGTGACACCATTGACGTCACGGCGCTGAGCGGCAGCGACGGCTTCAAGGTAACAGACAGTGGCGGCGGCAGCTTCATTTTGCCCTTCTACAGCCCGATCGACATGACCGGAGACGGATCGACGGATGTCGCGCTGTTCATCTCAACCTTGTTGATGCCGTCCTTCGACACAAAGAATTCTCCGTATGCCATTGTGGGCAACGGCCCTGCAGGAGGCTCCAGCAACAATGCCGCCACGTCAACAACCTCCAGCAGCCTCTCCACTTCAGCAACCACAATCAGCTCGACAGAGACTTCATCTTCCACATTTACACGAACATCAAGCAGCTCCTCCACCTCAGGCAGCATGACGTTCTCTTCCACATCTTTACCTGCGACCTCGTCCTCTTCTACATTGACACGGACATCAAGCAGCTCCTCCACCTCAAGGAGTATGACGTTCTCTTCCACATCGTTATCAGTGACTTCTTCTACATTGACACGGACGTCAAGCAGCTCCTCCACCTCAAGGAGCCCGACCTCAGAAACCACGACATCCTATTCTGCACCGGCAGCCGATGGCAACAGTAGTTTCGAGACAGGCGATGAAGCAACAACCACCGCCGAAGTCGCATCAGGGGAGCAACAGACCGATAGCTTGGACGACAAAGACGACGACAACGGAGTGAACGGATGGGTGGTCTTGTTGATCGTGCTGGCGGCGCTGATCATGATCGGGTGTGGGGTGGTGGTGTTGTCATGCTGGATAGTGAGGCGCCGCGACAACAAGGCGCAGGGCACGCAGCCAGAAACCACTTTCCCAGTTTAGTCCTTTACCTAATTCGACGGCATCTTTCTGTCAAGCAGTCCAAAAGCCGTCAGGGACGGTTGTGTGCAACGGATACTGTGGTTCAAGAACATGTCTTCGCTCCCGTACCCTCTACTTTGTGTGTTCTCAGCCGAACCGCAGTACTGACTTGGGATTGGCCACTTCGTAGCGCAAGTGTTGCTAATCAAGTCAGGTCGTCCGCACTGCTGGACCTTTGCAACTTTCCTCATGACGACATTTTTCTCATCGGAAGTCTGGAGGTCTTCCTTTTCAAAGTTTTGACGATGTAGGCATCCAGTGGGCGATAGAGGTAGTATAGGCATGCAGCTCTTCGCCGTCGGATGCCCGCTGATTCCTGAGCCTGTTTGTCATTCTGTACGGCTCCCTCGCTAAGGCGGGATGTTGGAAGCCGACTTGGCCTACAGTCGGGATTGAGCTTCGGCAAATCATCGGCATGACTGCTGGTGTTGCCCCCTGCACGCTCACACGTGCATGTGGCGTGGCTGATTGTGCCACGCGGAGTTCTGTTTGCTTGGCGCTGAAGGCGTTTGTGTACTCAGGTAGAAAATGTCTCGCCCGGTTTGTGCTAGTTTTTGCAAGCTACTGCCGAGAAGCCATTTACAGAACTGTCTCTGCCTTGTACGTGGTAGCTTCCGCCATGTCGACCGAAGCCAAGTTGGGTGGGTTTAGCTGGGAGTAGGGCAAGTTTTGTCCGGTGTTCTATGCAGCCTGATGCCGTTGCGGCGAGTCTGGGCTTGATTTGTGCAGCATGGCTCCTCTGCCGCGAAGTTCTCAAAAAGGGCTAAGGCAGCCGAACAGCTCCCACCTGTCGCCTGTCAAAACGGCAGCGATGACTGTAGCGAGCTTGATCCGGCTAGTGGGCGTCATGATGGCAGGCGTGGCATCTGCCACGGACTACCCTGCCACCTGGGCTCTTGCAAATCACGGCACGGTTCCAGCCGCTACCGTCTATGCCATGACCAGCGCCTCCAATGATGCCCAACTTCCTGGCACAATGAGTTCCGGCGATGTCAACGGTGATGGCGCTAACGACTTCGCCTATGAGTTCCCTGCTGGCACTTTCAACGTGCACTTCGGAGGCATCTCTGCAGACTTGGATCTCGACAGCATCACCTACGACGGCTCGAATGGCTTCAGCATTGTCACTGGCAACAGCGGCAATATTTGGGGGACCATCGCCGGCGACGTCAACCAGGACGGCTTCAACGACGTGTTGTTCTTCCACAAGGCAAGTTAGAGACGCAAGAGCGGTCGAGTCAGAACATGTTAAAACAGACTCTTCTCTTGTGCTGCAATGCGCAGGCCTCGGCTTCCGTCAAGATCGTCTTCGGCAAGGCTAGCGGCTGGAGCGCTTCCTACACCGTTGCAAGCATGACGTGGGATGGCACGGACGGCCGTGAGTTGACCTACTCAGCCGATAGCAAGTTCGCAGATAATTCCTTCGGAGGTAGCACGCCGCAGATCCTCAGCGGATTTGACCTCAACAACGATGGCATTGACGACATCGCCGTCGTTTCGGAAGGCAGCAGCAACAGCGGCCGAGTAAGCATTTTCTTCGGCAAAAGCACATGGTCCGCATCGGTGGACGGCTCCACCGACTTTGATGGCACCAGTACCGGCTTCTCGTTTATGGATGCTACAAATGCCAGGTTGGGACGTGGCCTGAGCGTGGGAGACATTAACGGAGATGGCATCGACGATGTCGTGGCCTCCAGCAGAAGCGATCAACCGTTCAGCGGGACTGGCTGTCTCTATGTGCTCTATGGAGGGGGTACGTACTCGGCCTCCATTGCGGACATTTATGCTCATGTCGATGGGACCACTGGCTTCCGGCTGTGCGGTGCAGAATCAAACACCTACATCGCGGACTACTTCTTGGCCACGACAGACTTCAACGGCGACGGCATCTCCGACCTGCTCTTTGCAGGGCGAGGCAACCAAGCGGGAATGTACGTTCTCTTCGGCAAGGCATCCTTCGCCGCGAGCCTGACTCTGCCGTTTGCAAGCGGCGAGGGAGTCTCCCTCACGGGCTTTTCGGGCCAGCCGGCGTTGCTGAAAGTAGCCAACCTGGGCAAGTTCAACAACGACCAGTACGAGGACATCGCGTTTGGGGACGGCAGCAGCCTGCACGTCGTGTTCGGCAGTGCCAGTCCGGGTGACACCATTGACGTCACGGCGCTGAGCGGCAGCGACGGCTTCAAGGTAACAGACAGTGGCGGCGGCAGCTTCATTTTGCCCTTCTACAGCCCGATCGACATGACCGGAGACGGATCGACGGATGTCGCGCTGTTCATCTCAACCTTGTTGATGCCGTCCTTCGACACAAAGAATTCTCCGTATGCCATTGTGGGCAACGGACCTGCAGGAGGCTCCAGCAACAATGCCGCCACGTCAACAACCTCCAGCAGCCTCTCCACTTCAGCAACCACAATCAGCTCGACAGAGACTTCATCTTCCACATTTACACGAACATCAAGCAGCTCCTCCACCTCAGGCAGCATGACGTTCTCTTCCACATCTTTACCTGCGACGTCGTCCTCTTCTACGTTGACACGGACATCAAGCAGCTCCTCCACCTCAAGGAGTATGACGTTCTCTACCACATCTGTATCAGTGACTTCTTCTACATTGACACGGACGTCAAGCAGCTCCTCCACCTCAAGGAGCCCGACCTCAGAAACCACGACATCCTATTCTGCACCGGCAGCCGATGGCAACAGTAGTTTCGAGACAGGCGATGAAGCAACAACCACCGCCGAAGTCGCATCAGGGGAGCAACAGACCGATAGCTTGGACGACGAAGACGACGACGACGGAGTGAACGGATGGGTGGTCTTGTTGATCGTGATGGCGGTGCTGATCATGATCGGGTGTGGGGTGGTCGTGTCATGCTGGATAGTGAGGCACCGCAACAAGCAGGCGCAGGTCGCACAGCAGCCAGAAACCACTTCCGCAGTAGAAGCGGCCTCGCTTTCGAGCACCAGGTGCCAAGTGGGTACGGCATGGTGACGTGATTTTGAATGTCGCAATCTTCGCACAAGAAGTTGAGTTCCAGCCTTTCAGCCCTTCGACGACATCTCTTTGTCAAGTTTTTGTCAAGCAGACCAAAAGCCGTCAGGCACGGTTGTGTGCAACCGATACTGTGGTTCAAGAACAGCTCCTCTCTTGTGTGAACACTACCGAAGTTTCTACTTTGTGTTTTGTGAACCGCAGTACTGACTTTAGACTGGCCACTTTGTAGCACAAGTGTTGCTAATCAAGTCAGGTCGTTGCATTGCTGGACCTTTGCACATGTCCTCATGAGGACTTTTTGGTGTGCACAGGTTCCCATCGGAAGTTTGGAGATGTCTTCCCTTTTCAATATTTTGACGATGTCGGCACCCAGTGGGCGATGGAGGTAGTGCAGGCATGCAGTTCTTGATAATGAAATGCCATCGGATAATGCTGATTCCATTCCTGAATGTCATTCTTTACGGCTCCCTCGCTAAGGCGGGATGTTGAAATCAACTTGGCCTACAGTCGGGATTGAGCATTGTGCAAATCATCAGCATGACTGCTGGTGTGGCCCCTCTGCACGTTCTAACGCGGATGTGACGTGGCTGACTGCGCCACGTGGAGTTTTCTTTGCTTGACGCTCAAGGCGTTTGTGTACTCAGGCAAAAAATGTCTCGCCCGGCTTGTGTTAGTCTACGCCAGCTACGGCCGAGCCAAGCCATTTACACAACTGCCTCTGCCTTGTAAGTGGTGCTTTCGCCATGTCGACCGAAGCCAAGTTCGGTGGGTTTAGCTGGCAGTAGGGCAGGTTTTGTCGGTGTTCTATGCGCCGTGTCGTTCGGCTGAGTGGCTTGTGAGCAAGGGTTGGGCTTCAGACGAAGACGGTCCGGGCAAGCCCGTTTTTGAATTCTGCGTACCAAGGACTCCGGCCATCCTCGAACAGGTGCCTGGGCTGCAACTTGTTTGAGCGAGCCTAACGCTGGGGATTCTGCTTGGAGTCTAGGCTCGGGTTTTTGCCGCATCGTGGTCCTTCTGTGTTCCTCTGCCGTGACTTTTTCAAACCGGCGAGGCAGCCCAATCCCGATGGCAACCGCGCCGGCTCCTCCCGAGCCACCTGCGGGACTGCGGTCCCACCAACTGCAACGGCAGCGATGACTGTAGCGAGCGTGATCCGCCTAGTGGGCGTCATATACGCCTGCCATCTGCCACGGACTACCCTGCCACCTGGGCTCTTGCAAATCACGGCACGGTTCCAGCCGCTACCGTCTACGCCATGACCAGTGCCTCCAATGATGCCCAACTTCCTGGCACAATGAGTTCCGGCGATGTCAACGGTGATGGCGCTAACGACTTCGCCTATGAGTTCCCTGCTGGCACTTTCAACGTGCACTTCGGAGGCATCTCTGCAGACTTGGATCTCGACAGCATCACCTACGACGGCTCGAATGGCTTCAGCATTGTCACTGGCAACAGCGGCAATATTTGGGGGACCATCGCCGGCGACGTCAACCAGGACGGCTTCAACGACGTGTTGTTCTTCCACAAGGCAAGTTAGAGACGAAAGAGCGGTCGAGTCAGAACATGTTAAAACAGACTCTTCTCTTGTGCTGCAATGCGCAGGCCTCGGCTTCCGTCAAGATCGTCTTCGGCAAGGCTAGCGGCTGGAGCGCTTCCTACACCGTTGTAAGCATGACGTGGGATGGCACGGACGGCCGAGAGTTGACCTACTCAGCCGATAGCAAGTTCGCAGATAATTCCTTCGGAGGTAGCACGCCGCAGATCCTCAGCGGATTTGACATCAACAACGATGGCATTGACGACATCGCCGTCGTTTCGGAAGGCAGCAGCAACAGCGGCCGAGTAAGCATTTTCTTCGGCAAAAGCACATGGTCCGCATCGGTGGACGGCTCCACCGACTTTGATGGCACCAGTACCGGCTTCTCGTTTATGGATGCTACAAATGCCAGGTTGGGACGTGGCCTGAGTGTGGGAGACATTAACGGAGATGGCATCGACGATGTCGTGGCCTCCAGCAGAAGTGATCAACCGTTCAGCAGGACTGGCTGTCTCTATGTGCTCTATGGAGGGGGTACTCCATTGCGGACATTTATGCTCATGTCGATGAGACCACTGGCTTCCGGCTGTGCGGTGCAGAATCAAACACCTACATCGCGGACTACTTCTTGGCCACGACAGACTTCAACGGCGACGGCATCTCCGACCTGCTCTTTCCAAGCGGGAATGTACGTTCTCTTCGGCAAGGCATCCTTCGCCGCGAGCCTGACTCTGCCGTTCGCAAGCCGCGAGGGAGTCTCCCTCACGGGCTTTTCGGGCCAGCCGGCATTGCTGAAAATAGCCAACAAGGGCAAGTTCAACAACGACCAGTACGAGGACATCGCGTTTGGGGACGGCAGCAGCCTGCACGTCGTGTTCGGCAGTGCCAGTCCGGGTGACACCATTGACGTCACGGCGCTGAGCGGCAGCGACGGCTTCAAGGTAACAGACAGTGGCGGCGGCAGCTTCATTTTGCCCTTCTACAGCCCGATCGACATGACCGGAGACGGATCGACGGATGTCGCGCTGTTCATCTCAACCTTGTTGATGCCGTCCTTCGACACAAAGAATTCTCCGTATGCCATTGTGGGCAACGGACCTGCAGGAGGCTCCAGCAACAATGCCGCCACGTCAACAACCTCCAGCAGCCTCTCCACTTCAGCAACCATAATCAGCTCGACAGAGACATCATCTTCCACATTTACACGAACATCAAGCAGCTCCTCCACCTCAGGCAGCATGACGTTCTCTTCCACATCTTTACCTGCGACCTCGTCCTCTTCTACGTTGACACGGACATCAAGCAGCTCCTCCACCTCAAGGAGTATGACGTTTTCTATCACATCCGTATCAGTGACCTCTTCTACATTGACACGGACGTCATGCAGCTCCTCCATCCACCTCAAGCACAACGAACTTCTCTTCCACATCGTTATCAGTGACTTCTTCTACATTGACACGGACGTCCAGCAGCTCCTCCACCTCAAGGAGCCCGACCTCAGAAACCACGACATCCTATCTCTGCAACGGCAGCCGATGGCAACAGTAGTTTCCAGACAGGCGATGAAGCAACAACCACCGCCGAAGTCGCATCAGGGGAGCGACGGACTGACCTCTTGGAGGAGGAACAGATGGGTCGGATGGGTGATCTTCTTCTGGGTCGTGTTGGCAGGGCTGATCATAATTGGGGTGGTGGTGGCGGCAAGACTTGAACAATGTAGACGCCCGACGGGTGATGGAGGTGAACACGCGCAGCTCTAAATTGAATTGTATTGATCTGCCATCGTCGGATGATAGCTCATTCCAGTACCTTTCTTTTTCGATTGTCTTCGACTCTCTCGCTAAGGCGTGGGCCAAAACCAATTCGGCATACAAACTGTACAGTCGGGATTGGTTGTTATGCAAATCATCGGCTTGAATGCTGGTGTGCTCCGCTGTGCCATCTAGAATGGGTGTCGCGCAGGGAGCTTAATTTGCACAGTTCGGGTTAGTTTACGCCAGCTACAACTGAGCCAAACCAAGCCATTTATCAAACTGTCCTTGCCGTTTGAGCGGGAGAGGCGGGCGGGGTGCGACTGGAGTGGAGTCAGGGTTCCGTGGCCCTCCAGAGGTTATGAATCGCTCCACTTGTGCCTGAGGCAGGTGCGGGCGGATCCATTCTCAACTTGTATCAGGTAAGGCTACCTCGATTCCCGGGTGCCGATCTCTGATCCAAATTCAGCATGCGCATTCTTGTACGTGATTGTTGGGAAAGAAGTTCACACGACCGGCACAACACTGCAGCCGAGGTCATGCTGAGCAGCACCAGCGGAACCAGCTTCACATTAGAGTTCACAAGTCACCAATCCTAACGTAAGCTAATTCAATGCCGGTCGGGAACTAGATGCATGAATCATGCATCCGTGCAGTGAGCCGCAATACGCTGGGAGCGCAAAAGGTTCCCTGGGCACACCTAGTGGCAGAACAAGTTTAGTTGACAGCATGACTTGCGTTGTTCATGTGCGATATACGAGTTAGTTTGCACCTTTTGCGGTCTTTGACAATTCCGCGTGATTCATGCTCTTGTCTCGTTTTGTACATATGGAGCGACTGAGACTGTTTGTACCAGCGGCCACAACCTTGTCGAAGGTTGCATTATCCTCCCCATCCCGCTTCCTGACTATGACGACAGCATAGAATATCAGAGACTGTTCAGTTCTTACATACACTCCAAATGACAGCTGCATTTGGCTCGGAGAAGCAGGCAGCATCTGGCCATCCAAAGAAGACCCGAGTTTCCCGACACAGCATGGTGGGCTGGCGTCGTAGCCGCAGTGAGCTCCCGTACCTGGCTGGGATCGCTCTCGTCGCTGCCTTATGGAGACTGGACATGGAGCATGCTGGATGCTGTGTCGCTCGAGCCTTACACATACAATGGTTAACGGCACTTGCCGTTCCAAGGCCCTCATTGGTAGCTGCGCCTGGTTGGTTTGCACATACCGCCGCTTGCGTCGGGCAACTTCTTCCGCGGACAGCGACGCTTAGCTACAGGTCTGCGCAAGTCAGGACGCGAATTTCATCAAGTCGTTGCAGGTGCTGTGGTGTTTGACCTGTGAGGACAGCATCGATCGCGTAGGTCTTTTGCGGGGTGCTTTCTGGCCGGGCCGGACGGTTAGAGGCCCCATGGCCTAAGCAAACTGTGACACCAGAGCAAGGAACAGAGCAGAGGTCACTACCTGCCAGTCGCTTCAAGGACGGCAGGCCATTGAAACCTGGGGGCTGCCGTCCTCGGTGTTGTCGCAGATGTGTCCGAAGGGTCGCGAAGGCAGTCGAACAGTCTGTCCGGCTTCACATTGTTTCGCTGTCTCCGTCTCTTCGTCTGGCCCGAGTCGGATCCCAGTTCAGGCTTCGAAGCCCCTGGGCGATTCCAGTAGTTACAGCAAGGCTGACTGGGTGGTGGAAGCAAATTTCAAGCGGCAGGGCCTGGTAGGGATAGCATGCCGCCTCTCTACCGCAGCTTGGCGTGCTACTTGTAACAGTCGGTATCGCATCACCACCTGAGGATATCATGGTGCGCTTGGTTCTTTTCTTGGTCGCAAAGGCGTGTCTGCTGGATGCCGGTTCGTGTTTCAATTCTTGATGTTCCAGAATTCTTCGGCAGGCGGTCTTACTGGCGCTTGAAATCACGATGCTTTGTGGAGCATGGTCCGATGTGAGCACTGGATGGTACGTGGCCCTGGGGCCGCTGGGCTATGTCTCACGGATCATTTTTTGGAGCCACTCATTATCCTGCTTGCCTGGAGTTCTTCACGTGTTTGTCCAGCCGAGGATTCTGCTGCTGGACCTTCCGACGGCCACCTGACGCAAATTGTCCATGTACCCTCGGTAGCTGGGAGCTGAAGTGCACCGCAAGATGCTGCCTTGTAAACCAAAGCTCCCAACAGCATGTGTTGTCTCTCTCGTGACTTGCCGCGAGATTGCTGCCGCTGGCACTATGTGGAAGCAGGCCAAAAGAATGATGGTGCAATTCCAGGCTGGCTTAAGAACAAGCTTTGCAGCACCAGCAACAAGATGCCTCTGCAGTGATTGGTCCCAGAAGTGTTCCAGATTTCTGCTGGTGGAAGCATCTGCGGTCGCCTGACGTAGACCTGTGGCCAAGGCGTGCCTGAAGCCCCAAGATGCAAAGCTGAAGATTGCGCCAGGAAGAAACTCAGAAGAAACGCAAAGAGCGCCGCAGCGAGTACTTGGACATGCTTCCGCGACTCTCTTTCCAGGCGCTGCGCCGTTTCGGGGCAGGTTGCTCTTGGTAACATAGAGCTACATCCAGGGCGACTTGGGCATAGCACGTTCTGATTGCAAGCTGTTGGGTGGTACTGGTAGCGTGTGTCATGCGGAAAGCACCTGCTTCCGGACTCGATAAGCGGTTTCATGACTAGGAAGGACTCGTTCGAGTCTAGTGAAACGGTATACTTAGTTTAACCCCAAGATGTGTTGTTTAACTCCATTTGTGGAAGGCGTTGCTTGGCCGCATGATCCCGCATGCAGCAGTACTCATGGAGTATTCATCGGGTCGTAGCACAGCATTCGGGAGCCTGTGGGCTTTGAGCGGCTACCTTTCAATTCATGGTTCCAACTCCATCAGCAGCTGTGTTTTGTTAACGTTGTTGTGAAGCAAAGAAGTGCTGCTGGAAGGAGTTCTCCGAGCGCGAACAGGAAAACAACGACGAGAACGAGTTCACAAACGACAGGCTTTGACATAGCCAGAGCATTTCACTTGTGTGGTCTAGGGCAGGATTTCTATCGACTGCTTTCGTGTTACCATAGACGTGTCCATGGCACTGTCGGTGGGGCAACTAGTTTCCACGGACAGAGCTCTTTGCAGAATCAGATGACCGTTAGATCGTTGGGACTTCGTAAACTCCATGGAGTCCAGACTGGATTTCCTCGTAGAGCCGGGGTTAGATTGATTTCGCGCCAGATGTCGATTTCCAATGAGGGTTTTGACTCCTGTGCAGCCATCGGCGACAGGCAATAACCGGTGAGACGCATATTGGAGCGGCTGTTAGGTTTTGTTGGTTTGAGGCTGTGTTAAAACTGTCAATAGGGCAATGTCCAACATGGGCGTCGCTGAAGACACAAGCCAGATCCATCAAGCGCGGGCCGACCCCGCTTGTGTGAGTAGGATGCATTGCTAAAGATGCCTGCTTTTTCTTCAGGGTACCAGACGAGAAAGACATCGGCAGCCACCAGCACAACAAGTGTTCTCAGGACTCCAGGGCAGTGTTGAAGTGAAGGGTCAACCTTAGAATAGCAGGGTAGACATGACAGGCGAGGTGCCTCTTGTCTGTCATGTCCTTGCTGAGGGGATTGTGCTGCAGTTCTAGGGTTTTGTGAGGTAGGAGGCAGAGGAGTACCGCGCATACCTTCTGTCAGTCACCAAGCTCCAGTTGCACAAACGTGTCCTTGCTCTGACAGCTGGCAGCTGTTCGACGGTATGGGGGGTTCGGGCTTGAGAGATGCCGGAACCCTATGGAACTGCCAGGATCAGTGCATTATTTGCCTTGCCGACTTCAAGCCGGATTGCACAGTACCGTGGCAAAAGATCCCAGGGCAAGATGTCGACAGTTGAAAAGGAGCGGCTTGTGGGGACCGAGTCCTATCCCAGAAGCAAAGGGTTGTGGGTAATAGCACTCACACTCCACAGCTGTTGTACCACTGCGTGACAGAGAATTAGAGCATTCCAGCTCCAGCAAGGTTGTTCGCCTCGATTGCGGCCATGTCTACCATGTGCCTTGGCTATTGAAGTCACGTCAGTCGAACCTAAGGCCTGGACAATGCCAGCACGTCTGAAGTCAGTTGCCCATGCCTTTGCTGGCTTCCTCGTTTCTCGTTTGCAGGAGGGCTGCATTTCCACGTGGCTTATGGATGAGAAGCGAGATCCATGCCCTTTCCGCTGCACCAACTTCCCAGCAGACCTGGTCCATGGGCGGCAGAGCGATAGCAAACTGTGGATCGGATGAGGTGTCCACAAGAGTGTCACAAGAGTGCTGGAAATCAGTTGCAACCTGAATGAATGCATCGGTGTCGAGCGTGTCCATCGTGGCAGAAACTGGCACACGGAAAGCACAAGAAAGACAACATGAACGAGCAATATCATGCACGTGCATGTGCTTTCGCGCACGCATTTCTGATCGTGTTATGCATGTACGTATGTATGCATGTAGGTGTGTGTGTAGGTAAGTATGTAGGTATAGGCAGTCTCTCGTGCAGTCATTTTTGTTGAGACTACTCGAGAACTGAGCCGGTCATGCCGCCGATTTCTTATAGGGTACCCAAAAAGGGACGCTAATTTTGACAACCGCCCATGTGTAAGGTCCGGGCAGACCAAGCAGACCAAGATGATGGTGTGGAGGCAACGACGTCCGCGACGGCAGCCACGCATCTCGTCATACCACCAGCCAAGTTTGGGCCAGACCAAAACATACGTATCTGGAAAGAAGTTTACATTCCAGCTTAGAGAAATCCCAAATCTGAAACCCACGCAGCTCTAAGTGCTGGTGGCTTGCTCTGCATGCTAAAGGATTTCCGAGTGTAACGAAATGCTGCAGCTCAGCTGTATCCAAACCCCCTGCCAGAAGAACCTTGTCGGGAGGGCTCGCAGCCCGGAGCTTGCCTTATCGACACAAATGATACGACTGCTAGCGGGGCTTGTGGCGAGGGCGGGCTTCTCTCTTGAATGTTCCCAAATTGGCGCCATCTCCCGGCCAGACTGAGCTGTGGCCGACTTTCCGACGCTTGGGTTCTGGCCCAAACATGCCCAGTCCCAGGCGGTTGTCTTTTTTGCAGCCGAGGCCAAGTGGCGACGTTGTTGGCCGACCATTGGAACGTTTGGAGGTGTAGGGGCCGGTAGGCCGGAAGTGGCTAGATGTTCAAGGATTCGGGTCGTTGGTTCGGGCTTCAAGTATTTACCGTTAGTAAGTGTATCGAAGCTGGATGAGCTTCTGGGGCTCCCAGAGCGATCGACCACAAGTGTGACTGTGATGCCATTTTTCTTCCTTGAATGTATGGGCATGACCTTCGGACGCTGGCAGCAATCGAGAGAACTTTCTCATTTCCGAGGCCGCATCTGCTTCTTGAAGCTGTGTTCCTTGCCAGTGCCCATGCGGACTCTTTACTCTGCTAGAGTCGCTAGAGCTTCATTCAAATTTGACATGTCTCTTTCTCACGTGCGAACCAGAGATGTCACACAGCCAGTAAGGTTGCACCTATAAGCACCAGTCTCAACAACTCCTGTCTGCGGGCTGACTTCAAGTCTTATCAAACGTTTAAGTGTTTTACATTGAACTCGACGTCCCCAAGTCGCCACAGCAGGGAGGAGGTGCTGGGCCGAGGGTTGATCTGGCTACGAACCGGGTGAAGCCAATCGTTTCAATCATCGGAGTTCCTGGTGGAGCACAGGCACATCGCCATATACTTGAAGAACTTAAAGTGATGCAGACTTGAACGAAAGGCAGCACCCAGCGTCCTGCTGACCTGTAAGCCAGCCATTTTTGCAGCAAAAGGTGCCAACATGTTCAGCAGCTTAAGTTTCATTGCTGCGAAGAAGCAAGCCAGCAGGACGTGCTCATGCCGTGATGTATATACACAGCAAAACTTCCCTCGCCGGTGGAACCTTTGGTGGCCTGCCGCATCAAGTCGGCGATCAGGCGCACATGCGCGCCCAAGCAAGCACCGCAGGAGCTTGTCAAGAAGCTTGGCGTGTCGACAAAGCTGTTGGTTTATTGATTCTTGCAGCAGAATCTAAATGCCTTGTCAGCCTCGTCGGCGCAAAAGAGAAGCTGAAAGAACACCTTCATACGACGGCCGTCGACACGAATCTCAGGAGTCTCCCCCAAGGGGAGCTGCTTGGATACAGCAAGAAGGAGAGTCCTTGTGACCTTGTGACATCATGTTTTGGATGTTTCAATACATGTGGCTCGTAGGGGGGACTATTCTCACATCGACTTTCGTTCAGTAGTTCGTTTCTCAGCAATGTTTTAAGCAGAAGCTGATCGAGGTGTGCTTGCCGGTTTCTGCTGTTAGCTTCTCGGGAGGCCGCTCGCGCTATTGTAGTGGCTTGAGCTCCAGCACAAACACGCTTTCTACCAAAAACACTTTGGCATACCGACAGCTAGTATGGTAGGTGGTATGATGCAAAGAAGGGACTCGTGCATGGCGTTCAGAGTCTCTACAGGAAAAGCTCGAGCCGCAATCGATTTCAGAGACTTCCTGCAGGGTAAAGCTGCGAACATGGACGAACAAAGCCCAGAAAACAGTTCCTTGAAAGGAGAGTCATGACTTCGCATCGCGAACTCTCCGTGGCCTTGTCCATGTTCCGAGGTTTTCCGCTTTCCTTGTAAAGGCCCTGGGCTTCTCAAGTTACTTAAGCGACCGATGCAGCTGCGAGCACACTGACATTCTGCTGAAAAGGGCAAGCCGTGCTGCTCCGATGTTGAAGTGAACTGCACAGATACCCTAAATGGATGCGAGTTGTGAGAGTCGACATGAAGGTTGCGGGCTTTCATCGTCCTTGCAGATGGAAGGTTTGAGAACATGCTGGAATGCACGCCGAGAACATTCTGCGAAAGCAGCGAGAGAGTAACTTGCAGTTGCACAAGTCTCAGGCGTTCTCTGAAGCATACCTCCACTCTTTTGAGGCTTGAGCGAGTCGCATGTTCTGCAGGACGAAACCTGTTGGTCGAGTCGGTCGAGTGTTCAGAAGTGTTCAGGGAGGGGTTGCAGGCGTCCCGGCACTGCAGTTTATGAGTCTGTCGCCCTTATCGCTGATCCAGCTTCTGATTGCCACAATTCGCGAATCTTGGAAGCACGCGGATGGAGCACACCGTGACTTTGGCCTTGTGTGGGTGCCTGTGGCTCTGAAGCAGTGAGTTGGCCCTGGTTTTTCAGAAGTGTCAACCACATCGGATTCGCAACATGTAGCGGGCATGCGAGGTTGTGGCATCGCGCCGTCGAGAGACGTTTAGGTAGAGCCAAGCCCGCGAGAGCCGATGGAGTCCTTTCGAGACTTTGGGGCAGCTGACAGTTACCCAAGCCAAGCTCTGCACAAGACCAGGATGTGCCAGAGCTTTGCCTTAGGAAGCTGTGCTATGGGAGAGGTCTGTCGCTATGCGCACACACCGGAAGAGCTCAAGAAGACCAAGCTGTGCAGGCATTTTGAGAACGGTGATTGCCGGAACGGAGTTCGCTGCACTTTCGCACATGGTGAAGCACAGCTTTTTGTGCCACCTGCAGGCATGGACGCACAGGCCGCGCAGGCACATCAAGTAGGAAGATCTGGAGGTCCAGTTGGAGAACACGCAGGGCTCGTCCGCAAAACGAAGCTGTGTCAAAAGTTCAAAGATGGCACCTGCCCTTTCGGCTCAGAGTGCCACTTTGCACATGACCTGTCTGAGTTGAAGAAGACCAAGATGTGCGATCACTTTGCACGTGGAAGGTGCAGGAATGGCAGCACATGCATCTTCGCACACGGAGAAGGAGAGCTTTACATTCCGGAAGAAAAAGACTTTGTACCACCTCGCCCGGCAGCTTCAAGGGTTTGGGAGTCCAGCAGAGAGTCGGTCAACGGTGATCTCCACAAGACCAAGCTGTGCCGGAATTTCCTGGAAGGTGGCTGCTCCTACGGTGCGAGGTGCCGCTTTGCACATGGCACCTCTGAGCTCAAGGCGGTGGCGGCCTCGGCAAAAGAGGAAGATAGAAGCTCTTTGATCGAAGATGGGCCGCCGCCAAGCGAAGACTCGGACTCGGACCAGGTTTCCAGTGCAGACTCTGAGGTGCAGAGCGGCACGCGAAGCTTCAGGTGCATGGCTTCAGCCATTGTGCAGCAGGTGTGCGGGACGAAGGCGGTGCTTCAAGTGCGTGGGCAACAGCGCATCGTCGCACTTTCATGCTTTGCAGATCTGTGGTTCACACAGCCCTTCGAGGGCAATGAGCTCGCGTTCCCCGACGTGTCGCATTGGTCCAGGCACATCCAAATTGTGCCTCATTTGCGCAAGGTGGGGGATCGAGGGATGAGCGACCCCCAGCTCTGCAAGTTCATGGAGAACCTTTGGAATGCTTATTGCAGCGAGGGTGCAGTAATCCTCTCACGCTTGCAGCTGTATTCTTTCCCTCACATGGAGTATGCTCTCCAAGAAAAGCGGCTCCCGGTTTCGTGCATCCTGCAGATTGTGGATCTTGCCATGGAGATTCTCAAAGACATGGGCTCCAATGTGTCGCTCCCTGACGGACAGCCCACGACCCCGGAGTCTTCTTTCATACTGCATCTGTTGAAAAGCTCCTTTGTGAGACGTAGGCTGCCAGAGGCACTGTCTCGAGGTGAGCTGCCATCGAAGCGGGCGGCTGATTTCATCAGGGAGGCTTGCTGGGTCCTTCCTGCATATGTGTTCCTCCTGACCGCCTTCATTGAGACTGCATCCAAGACAGGATCCACAGAGATGCTCCTGTACGTTGTGAAGACCTACAGCGAGCTCTTGGCATCACAGGCCGGCTATGTGAACCTGGTGTCGTGGAGCAAACTGGTCCTCGCTCCGCAGCTGTTGTGCCTTTGCTTTTTTACACGGGGACATGGTAGGATTCCAGGCAATTTTTCAGTGAACGACACGGGAACAATCCAGGAGTGGGGATCTGTCCGACCTGCAGTCCCTGCCAGCAGTGAAGTGGAGTTACGACACCTTCGAGGAGTACATGGACACGTACTTCCGACTGCTCCGGGCAGATTGTTTCGCATCCTTGCAATCGGGTGTACAACAGTTCATTGCAGGGAAGCTGGACCCTCGTGACCTTCGGGTATACCATGCAAGGATGACCAAAATCCACGTCCTCAAATTCTCGCAAGGACTTGTGGCCACCATCCGCTGCCAAGACTACTTCGGGCGGAGGGGCTTTCCTCCAAGTGCACTAATGCAGAGCAACTTGGTGTGCATATCCGTCGGCGAGGAGCCCTTTCACGAGGTCCTGTGGGGTCGAATCGTGGAGCGGCCCAGCGACAATCGGAAGGACAGCATCGAGGTAAGCATTCAGTTTCCCCAGTCCCTAAACCGCCAGCTGCACAGCAAGAGGCTCTTGATGAAACTCTTTAGTGCCCAGCTCTTGGCTGACAGCCCCGTCTTTTTCCAAGCCTTCGGCCCGGTCTTGGACAAGCTGCAGGGCACCACCGAGGCCACCATGCCCCTGAACAGGGTGCTGCTGGGACAGAGGCAGGGCATCCGAGAAGCGGCTGAGCAGCTGCCTTGGTCGGCGGCAGCGCTGACGTCCCTACGGGGCACTTTGGAGCGCCGGGAGCGTACTTTCGACGAAGCTCAGCTGAAGGCCTTGGAGATGATGCTGCAGTCAACATGCTGCTGCATTCAGGGTCCCCCTGGGACCGGCAAGAGCTTTCTTGCTGTGGAGGCCTGTCGGCACCTCCTTCATGGAAGCACTTCCCTGTCAAATGGCTTTGGTACGAGTCGCCGCTTTGCTGACGCTGAAAGAGCCTATGACAGTGAGGATGATTTCGTTGAAGACACATCCGAGATGTCGGATGAGTCAGGGCCTCGTGATAATCGACGCCGTATACTGGTCTTGACCTACAAGAACCATGCCAACGATGAGTTTCTGGTCGATTGCCAGAAACACATGCCTCACATGCAGGTCGTTCGAATCGGGGGACGTTGTGAAGACGAGAGGCTGCAAGATTGCAACCTGAAGACCCTGGCGGCGAAGCAGAAGAAGGATAAGGTCTCGGGCACGATGGCTTTCAAGTTGATTTCAGACAAGAAAGAAATCATCGATCGGCTTCAGCGAGAAATGTCCTGTCTCGAGGCCGAGATGGATCCGTCAAAGCTATTTGCAGCAAGTGCGACCGATCAGCAGATTTGTTCCTTGCTGGAAGGCTGCCCAAACAAGCAGCGCGGCCATGTGAAGCATCACGAAAGCCTCCTCCGGAGCCTCGCAGAAGGCCTGCGCCCGACGGCTTCGGACCTGCGGCCCTGCTGCAAACACTGGCTCCCCAAGCGCCCGGAGCCCAAGCCCAAGGAGCCAAAGGAGCCGAAGGAGACGAAGGCGGGCGGTGCTGGCGTGGAGAACTTTAAGCCTTTTAAGCTTTAAGCATACGACACATGGTGACGACCGTCGCTTCCATCAGGTGCTGGAAGATGTCGAGGCGGAGGAGGTAGCACTGGAGAGGCAAGCCTTCGCGGAACAGACCGAGAAGCTGTGCACTCTGAATTTGGAGGAATGCTTGGGGCCCACTCTCTTCCTGGATGCCGCGCCTTTGTCGGTGGCATACAGTGAAGATGTCTGGGCCATGCGGGCGCGCGAGCGTGCAGGGCTGCTGGGCACCTGGCTGGAATCAGAGTTGAGCAACTCGAACGTCTTTGACACCATCCGAGAGTGTGACAGAATTCAGGAGACCGGCCCCCAACCTAGTCCAGTCTTGCCAGCTCATAGAGCAGTGCTCGCTTCCGGTTCACGGGCAAGCAAAAGTTTGGTTGGACTTGAGTCATTCTTGCAGGAGCGACTGACCCGCATTGAGCAAGATCACCAGCAAACGATCCTTCGTGAGGCGGGCTGGTCGGCCCGCTCGCAAGCCAAGTAGAACAAGGTCGCAGGTCAGTCCCAGGTACTGTAGGTGGAAGAGAGCAGTGTAGCCGCGTAGCGACGCCCTAGTCCCTTTTCCCAGGCTTCCATTGTTGGCTGCACTATCAGCGGTGCCTCAATCCGCGGAGATCTCTTGAAAAAGGCAGGGTTGCCCAGAGTGCCTCTGCATCTCCGGGTTGGAGGGTTCAGTTCAGTGTGTGGGGCCTGTCCAAGGTGAACTTTGATGTGGTGATAGTGGAGGAGGCCGCTGAAATCCTCGAGTCTCAGCTGGTTGCAGCCGTTCCTTCAACATGCCGGCAGCTAATTCTGGTCGGAGACCATCTGCAACTTCGGCCCAAGATCGAGAACCACCTGCTGGGCAAGCAGTTGAACTTTGACCGTTCCATGTTCGAGAGGTTGCTGCTGCACAAGCAGCACGATGAGCGATACCCCCAGAAGACCCTGATACTGCAGAACCGTATGCGGGATGATTTTCTCTGCCTGCTCAGGCCACACTACCCAGATCTAAAGTCCAATTTGATGAGAGTCTCTCAGAACGAGCAGCTCTCTTGTGTAACGAAGCCTATGTACTTTCTCCGTATGCGCTCGCTGTCCGAGACGGAGTCTGAAATCGGCCGGAGCAAGATGAACCGGCCCGAGGCAGACGTGATCCTTGCTTTCATCGCCCACATCCTCCACGAAGGCTATGAGCAAAGCGACATCACCGTTCTAGCCAGCTACAATGGACAGGTGAACTTCCTGAGGCGACAGCTTCGGGACAGGCAGCTGAGCAGTGTGGTTTGCTCCTCCATCGACCGGTACCAAGGCGATGAGAATCGATTTGTCTTGGTCTCTCTGGTCAGGTCGAATGATGCGGACGAGATCGGCTTCCTGCGTGAGCCAAATCGGCTGATCGTGGCAGCTTCACGGGCCAGGTGTGGAGTCTTTTTCTTCGGGAACGACCTGCTGTTGGCAAAGAAATCCAAAGATTGGAGACAACTTCTTCGCACGATGGAGGAGCGGGAGGAAGTTGGAGACAAGCTGCCGGTGATTTGCCCCCGACATCCCCACATTCCGCTTGACTTAGGCCAGGAGTGCCATCACGTTTGCAAGGCAACTTTGCCGTGTGGGCATACTTGTCAGGCACACTGCCACAGGGATGGATTTCACCCGCCTTGTAAACAGCCGGCCATTGCAAGGCTGAGATGCGGACATGACAAGGCCTGCGAGTGCTCAGCACGAGACCAGGCGGATGAGATCTTAAAGTGCCATGAGATGGTGAACTTTCACCATGAAGGCTGTGGTCACCAGGACACACGCAGGTGCTGCGACAAGCCGAAGCCGTGCACAAAGGCGGTGCGCATGCAGTGTTGCAGCTGTTCGGGATGGTCGTCCACGCAATGTCATGTGAAATCCGAAGGCAACTTCCAGTGCCGCTTGCCTTGCAAGAAAATCATGAAGTGTGGACACCCCTGCAGCTTGGTTTGCTTTGAAGATTGCGATCTGGCCTTGGACGATTGCAAGCTGTGTGCGCAAGAGCTCGAGGACGCCAAGAGAGAGCAAATGGCAAAGGTTCAAGAGCTGCTGGCGCAGATTGGCGACCCAGGGTTCTTCCATGTAGAAGAGCTGTCGCGAGAGCAGCAGCCTTTGGATTTCGACACGCTTACTTCATCAGTGGCATCCTTCTTCAGCACGTCCGGCTTCGAAGCAGATATCCAACTGGCCCAGCGTGTGAAGAACACAGACTTGGAGCGTCAGTTCTATCGCGGCCACGAGCTTGTAACAGCCCCTGTCCCTGAGGGTGCTCTGCGCATTCTGGAAGTCGCCTCACTGGACGTGGCTCAGCAAGTTGCAAAGAAGGGCCTTGGGCATCGCAAGAAATTTTGTGACTTCTACAAGTCCTACAAGAGGAGAGAGTCGACACCGGGCCTGCTGACTTTGGTGCTCTGCCGAGTTCAGACGGGTCGTGTTTACACCGTGGGCTCTCATTTCAAGCACCATCAGAACAAGTGGGAACAGGTTCTCAAGCCACCCGCCAATTTCGATTCCGCCTTCAACTCGGACACTGCTTGCTTGCGGCTTTTCCGACTCTCGGTGGGTCTGCCGAAGTACATCCTTCAGGCGGGGGGGGTGCCAAACAAAAACGGGAGGACCGCTCCGCAGTGTAGATTTCTGCAGGTGCGGCTGAAGGAAGTGACCGTGACCGGTTCAAGGCCACCACATTGGTCGGGAGCGGAATGCCCGGCACACTCCGAGCGCTTCTGGAAGCTGAGTTTGGCATCGGAGTTGGAGCAGCAGGCCTTGGGGAAGGCCCTGGCTCCTGGCTCGAGCTTGGGCGGAAGGGACATGCATGTCCACGGTGAACACAGTGGCTTCCGGCTGAAGATGGCTTGGCGACTGGAGCACGATGTTCTGTGGAAGGAATACATGGCTGCTAGGACCAAAGTTCAGGTTCAAATGGAATCCCTCAGGAAGCAGGGTGCTTCCTTTGCCAAGGTCGACTTAAGAAAGGAGTACAGCACCCTCCTGCGTGAGCTGCCGGTGAACAAAACAAAAGCGATGGACGAGCAGATCAACGAAGTTTACCTGAGCCATGGGACAAAGCCTGAAGTGCTTCTCACCATCTTGCAGAACGGCTTGAACGAACGCTTCAGCAGAGGCCTCTTTGGCAACGGTACTTATTTCGCGGAGGATGTGGGGAAGAATGACCAATACTGCGCACCAGACCATGGCGGTCAGAATCCACTTCAAAAAGTCTTGTACCACGAGCTGAAGATTCCTCCTGCACACGGTGTCTTCTACGTCCTGTTCTGCCGTGTTATTCTTGGCAGTCCAGTTCGGACTCAAGATGGAAAGTACGACATGGATCAGCGACCTCAAGTCAGTGTTTGGAGCAGTGAACAACGAGAGTTGGCAGCAATTCCGAAATCAAGTCCCCCTATCAATTTCCATTCCCTCCTCGCAGAAAAGGGAGGGATGATCAAGAGATACCGCGAGCTGATCGTCTACCATGGTACCCACATCTATCCAGAATATGTGGTCGCGTACCAACGTATCTGATCAGTCGATTGCGAACCATGAAAAACAAGCAAGATTCATGGCATACGCCAGAACCAATTTCAACAAGTTAGTTTATATAGACAAAGTTTGGCCTTATGATCCTTTCGAGAATAATGGGTGGGATAAACAAGACGTCCTCGTTAGAGGTTATATTATACCAATCTGGTTCTTATGGTCTAATGAGAACTAAGAAATATAGATAGGGTATGTATGTATATATATATATATATATACACAAATTTTGTTTTTACAAGATTGTGTTTTTCGATAATTTTGAAGGGTTCCATCATCGGGAGAGTATATTTAAGACTAGAAGTTCGTTGAATACAGATATCGGCTCAAATTTCAAAAAAATTCCTGATCTGTATATATATATATATACATATACGCTCTACTCTATTGATCTCTATTGTTCATATTTCTGTATCTTTTTATTCAGTTTTATGAACCTCTATATAACGCTGCGCTTCCTCGGGCTGCGGATTTGCGCACGACGGCTGTCGGTGCGAAACCACGAAAATCTCGGCATCTTGGGAGCGTTGGTATGCCTGTGGCTATATACACTTATATTACAGTAAGGCGAATTCTTAGTACGAAACCTAGAATTCCTGGGGTTTTCAGAGTCTTGTACGAGACGCGCGGTGTGGTACGAACTCCCCAAAGTGGTGGAATTTCGGGGTTTTGCACCGTGCGAAATGTGGAAATCGCGGGGAAAGTATGGTTTCGTACCGCGCTAAATTCTTGAGATACTCAGTGTTTCGTACCACGAAATTTTCGATCAATTTCGTTCTATATTCGAGCTTTCGTTTCATTATACTGCTTCGACAAATGTTGGATGACATGGACGTTCAATACTATAGTACTATAGTCTATAGTGAATGATTGGATACTTGGTTCGTACCACGCAAGCTGGATATAATATACTCTAGCATCGTAAGGTACCTTGAGGACTTATCGTATCTGTCGCACTGGTGAATCGACCAGATATCGCAGCTACAGACCGGAACGTGGAAACGCAAGTTGCGGGCGAGGGCGTGTGTTGTCGGGAGATGCGGGGAGTGCCGCGGAGTGGCGGGCATGTCGAGGGGCGTCACAGGAGTGCAGGCGAGAGGCGGAGCGGCATGGAGTGGCGGGTCAGGGCGTGTCGCGGAGTGGCGGGCGAGGGCGTGCGTCCCGTGGAAAATATCGAGAAGTGGCGGACGAGGGCCAAGGGAGTGGCGCAGTGGCGGGTGGGGGGCATGTGTCGTGGGCGTGGAACGGCGGGCGAGAGTGGGGCGAGGGTTTGTATGTCGAGGGAGTGTCGTGCGAGTATGTGTTGCGGAGTGATGGTGAGGATTTGTGTGCGCGGAGTGCGGGCGAGGGCGTGAGTGTTGTGGGGGGGGTGAGGGCGTGAATTTATCAGAATTTCGTGGAAGGGTGAGGGCGAGGAATGTTGCGGAGGGGACGATTCGTGGGGGATGGGATGGATCTTGGGAGGGCGGTGAGGACGAGAGAGAAATGATGAGATTTATAAGATGATAGGGAGAGAGAAATTTGGATAGATTGATGGTATAGTCTCAATAATAGACCTAGATTTCTTAGATTATTGAAATTTATTCAATAAAGCGAAGCCGCGGATCCGTATGATTACGTCTGCGCACGTGGTCGACCCTTCATTTCTATGAAATTCTCGGAAATATTCAT